TTGGAACGGGTAATTACTGTAGCAACTACAGACTAATTTGAAGTGTTAGCTGTTAATTAAAACACTACAGAGGTGTACGGTTGTCTTTTGGTGTAACCAAAGCTCCTATTCGAACTTCATTAATCACTTTACAGTTATTGTGTTGAGGAAGGTCAGGACAATGGAGATGCCGGATCAGCCCGGAGTAAACAAATTCCAGTCCTCCCCGGTAGCATGCCATTTGCAAAGCCACTGGACGCGCCGGACCCACAGGCACGCTATCTCCTTTGTGATCCAATTCTCAGCGATAATTAAATGTTAAATTGGTACTGTCAGTGCTCTGTAAACCAAACCAGGTATCTGCCCTCTGCTGGAAATTTAACCCAAACTTCCACGGATGAATTAGCGTGCATCATAATTAAATAATCAAGTCTTCCCTTTTAATTCACTTGGAAACAGGAGATCTCTCTTATGGAAAAAAGATCAGCTTTCTTGACAAGCTAATTAAGTTGCCAAACTGTCCGGCACAGTACATATTAAGCTAACAGACGTTAAGCATGCTATCTCAACCTGTTCATTTTCTTATCATTTCTGCTGATCTTAAGTCCATAATGTTTTGCCACTGTTGATTCATCCATAGTTACAGCAGAGTTCGTTTACTCCGTTGGATTCATTATCATGCAGTCAGCTACCGGTCTGTCAGAGCTTCGGCTGACGAGTTTGGGGTTTGCGTGTTGTACGGATATTAAATAACACTGATTTTTGGTATGCCTTTTTAAGCTGTGTTTGTTCCCCAAAGCTCATGCCACTCGGTTACGTAAATGTTTATCCATGAGTTATTAAATTAAGGTGAAGGTTTTAGAAACTTCCAAGCTATTAACAGAAATTATATAAGCACTCAGGGTTATAAATAAGATTAAACAACAGTCTCGCCTTGTGCTATGTATGATTTTGCATGCAAAAAAAAAACCCTATTAAAGCCTTTCTTCCTCAGTAATAATTGCTAGAGGTATATAGTGGTAAAATATAATTCTTTAAAGTTAGTGCCACATATATGACATTACTGTGCATAGTGCCATAAATCAGTATGAGACAATAAAACTAGTGAAGAGGAAAACCTTTAATGGTTTTGTTTTTATGCAAAATTACATCAGATTTTTAGTAGACTTTTTTTTTGCCTACCTTTTTATTTTCTTACAAGTTGATGGTTAGGAATACACAAGTCATTGTTAAACAGCCAATTATAAATATTTGTCTTTGGAAATTAAGACAAACTGCTCTTGAAATACTGTGGAAAATTATTTTTGGCTACATGTGAGCATTAACAATAATCCTTTCTAACCTCATATGGCTACGCACACGCTAATCTTAAATACAAATGTAGAAAGTTCATTTTGCTAATATTTTCTGTGAGTCCTTAGGTTATGATACAGAATCAGTCGTGACCTGTTTTACTTCACTTTGATCGCTGTAGCTGTGTATCTCACTGTCTTACCACTGAAATTACCCGTAGGATTGGCAAACGTGTGTGATAAACCTTGGTTTACGTGAACATTCTCAATAATGGCTATACCATAATTTTATTGCATTAAAAGAAAATGTGAAAGCGGATAAATTCGTACTTACAAGTTTGCTATTACGCTGCACGAAAGTCTTCAGTGTGTAGATCTGATACGAACATGCAGATGTAAAAACCTGCTAAATGGTTTCATTGTAAGTATATTCTTTTGATCAATTGTTTTCATCAGTCTTTCTTTAGGAACGCTATATAAAATTGGTTTAATGTAAAACGTATTAGCTCCAAGTCATTTTTCTGTGAAATTAGTGTATACGTGTTGCACATATGTATAGAGGTAATTTTATGTGATCTCAAGTTATTTAATTTTTTCCCTCATGCAGGGCATATCATGTCCCTAGTGGAAAAATACTAGCAGTAAAGGTAAGATATTACAGTAATTTTCTTTCTCTCTCTTTCTCTCTATTCTTTCTTGACCTTGGTTTCCTTCCCCTCCCTCTGATTGTTAGATCTCAATTTGTTTTATTGCATTAAAGCCCGTATTGTTTATGCGGGAAAACTCCAGTCCATAAATCTAGTCATTCCAAATGAGCGCAGGGTTCCCAGAAGCCAGGCTTCGCCCGCCCGGGATCGCTTGGCGCTGTGTGGAGGTACCGCCACCTCGTCCCGCAGGATTACAGGGCTGTGTCCAAGCGCAATCGTGGTTTGTGCCTCTCCGGCGACTGGCAGAGATGCTGCCTCACCAGCCCGAACCCCGGCGGTACAGGAGCGGGGCTGGAAAGGTCGCAGGATGTCAGCCTGTACCTTTCTCTGCTAATGCCAAACTGTCCCCGGGGGCACATTCTTGAGTGGTTTCTGCAACCGCATTTTTAAATAAAGAGAATTTCCCTGTTTTCTTTGGGATAATATCCTGTTTTCCTCGGAGATTTTGTGGTTTTAACAGGTTTATTTATTTTAATGTCTCTTTCCCCCCCGATTGTTTCTTTTTTACCCAACTGATTTGGCTTTTTTTTTTTCCTTGTTAGCTCATTCTTTGCAGTGAAGCTGTGTACTGTGGTGTTATGTGGTCAGACGAACGCCAGTCTTACCTGATGCTCAGTTAAGACTCTGGTAAACTAGTAGCGCCACTCTGACAACAGTATGCCAACTCTTGTATGGAATTTGTTAGATTAAATTTGTAAATTAAATTATTAATACAGTTAATCTATACAAAAACTTTGAAATGGGCCTTTTTTTAATATATCACACTTTTTTTAATTTGGCGGTTTTGTTAAAACTCAAAGCAGTACAGACTTTTGGAAAACAAATTAATTGTTGCATTCATACAATTCCAATTAACAGTTTGGGATCTAAAAAAGGGTATATTTTCAATATATAATTTATGGAATAATTACTTAGAAAACTGTAAAATGGGCTTTTTATCTCTTTTTTTTTTCCCTGTCTTAATCATTAAATTGTGGTGTAACTGAGTTAAACTGATAGAGCGTGGGGGTGGGAGAGGACGGTAAGAGGAGTGATGGGAGTTGGTTGCTACAAGCAGAATTGGTGTTAAATGGAATTTAAAGATGTAAGATTACACTAAGACTTCAAACAAAGCATTTATATTTACCAGGCAATATATGGGTAACTTTCAGATTTGGGCTCAGATTGTCTTGTGGTTCCAAAAGATAAAGTTTACTAAAAGGAGATTCTGCCCATGTTTTGGCTTTCCTGAGGATCGTGTAAATCCCTTCACCCCACCAGGAGAAATGCTTTTGACTTTTCAGTGAATTGAAGAAAAGCGAATGCTTACTACGGGATTTGACATGATTCTCTACATGTGGAAAAAAAACGGAAATTGAAGTAACATCCAAATAACTTCTAATTATAGGGAATATGAATATCACTTGAAAAAGTTTTTGAAGAAGTCTTTTTGAAAAAGTCCTTTCGCGTGGTGTCTGTCATTCCTAAACCTGTCATGAGCAGTTAGAGTAAGACAGGAATTCTCTGAGTTGTAATAAGCACAAAAGTACAGAAAATTTAATAATAAAAAAATATTTTCTTATTACAATTTTCAATGTGGAACTGCAAAAGCTCTTCCCCCAAATGCTGTGGTTGTGTAAGGATGCTGCTTTTCCCTGGTACCCACTACACTGCTTCCTCAAATAATCTTCCAGCTCTACAGAGAGCATCTTCTATGCCCGTTCCGCTCGGCGCTGGCATTGCTGCTCGCCGGCCGGCCCCGTGCTGCCGTGGGGCTGTGGGTGCCCTCAGAAGCTGCCTGGAGAGGAGGTGGAGCAGGAGAAGTCATCACGCAGGCAGGAGGGGAAATGAGTTCACCCTTTGCAAGGTTAATTGAAATCACCTCCCTGTGGCAAAAAGCCTTTTCCCCCAGCAATTTCACCTCCTTGTTTCCCTTCGAGTCCACGGGTTTCGTTAGTCCTCATGGATAATAAGCATCCTGAAGATTTGGGAAACTGGGTTCTCTTGTAGGTACTACTCATGGTGGTCCTGTCATTCTCAATTACTTTTTTTTTTTTTTTTTAAGTGTGATTTCAGAAGAAATACTACTCTAATGTGTGTGTTATCATAGTTTAAAATAACATGCTCGCGAGCTGGAGGTGAGAAAACCTGCTATGGTGGTGATCGTGCCAGCTCACTCTATTAAGAAAATTACTGAACACATCTATGGCTCAGCATACGCAGCAATAAAAAGAGGACGGTAATGCCCACGTCTTGACATGATCATCACGGGATCAAGTGTTTTGACAGAGGATTACCGCGCTAATGGGTACATCACTGGATGGATCTGTGAAAGCCGAGTTCGGCATTTTTGTGGCTTTTTTTTGGATGATAATTCACAGATTTGATAGGACAAGATAACATTCTGCAAACCTATTGATTAAAATGCTTTCAGCTGGTAGATAATCTGGTAAATATATTGAACTGGAAACCTAAACCAATGCTAATACCTGTGTTAGAGACCAAAGCTATGTCATTACAAATTTTGTGTAAACTTTACAGCTAGATATTATGCAGAGGATTTAATGGATTTTTTTCTAAAGTAACTTTTTTCGAATTGGAGGGAAAAATCCGAATGAAAAATTTGAGCGTATGCTGGCTGATTGCCATTCTTAACTGCTTTTAGTTTCTCCTGCTCTTAAGCTAGCATTTAAATGGACCATTTGATTAATCATTTGTATACTGACTATAATACTCCCAAATTTCCTTTGAGTTGTACATACTGTAAAAGACAATTATGTCGCCACGGATTAAATAAGTGAATTAAAACAGAATAGCAGCTTAATTTGACCTGTGATTTTGCTCTCGTTCCCTTTAGTGGAACGTATGCCACTCCAGCAAATAGATGAAGTCATCCATGACAGCTTGTGATGAATTGCCGTATTTATACTGTATATTTTAATAGCCTCACACTAATTTAAATTGAGCACAGAGTAAATTATAATTCAGTCACTTGACTGCTTGTATTTAACTTGACAACTCATCCTTATTTGTCCTGGAGGTGTAGTGGAGAGCAGAGGAAATATGCTCAGGTATTCCTCTTTTAAAAATTAACCCTTTTCGCTTGAAACGTTAAGTATGGTGAGGTCACATAACGTTCTAAGCGTGCTAAGTGATTGCAAGATTGCTGTATTTTAGGCAGGATGTTGATAAGGAAGATGTGCAGGAGTGCTTGGAGCCCCTTGCTGAAACCCAGAGGTCCACTAGGTCCTTTACATTAAAAAAATATATATAAAAAAATGCCCCTCTTGTCTCGGATCCTTCTCCAGCTCTACCTCTGAGGCACCATTTGGACTAGTTTTGAAATTGGGGCAGGCGCTGGAGCTCAGAGCGCGGTGGCCAGCCCCTCTTCCCCAGCCAGCCTGGCTCACCCTGGGCCCCGTCATCCGCAGCCCCGCGGCTCGGTTGGCCCTTGGGGCACGGGTGGGCTCCGGCCCCTCTTCCCCAGCCAGCCTGGCTCACCCTGGGCCCCGTCATCCGCAGCCCCGCGGCTCGGTTGGCCCTTGGGGCACGGGTGGCCACAGACCTGCCGAGCTCCTCTCCTCCTCGGACTTGTGTTGTAGCTTCTGATGCAAACTTGTTGAGAAGCTCCGCTCCCGCACGTGTTGAACACTGCCTGTTGTTTCGTGCCAGATGAATTGGGTTTTGCTTTTCTGCTCTCAATAATTCCGGTAAAATAACAGTGATTTTTTGCTACAAAGTTCTTTCCAAAGGTGCCGTTTGTCTAAGTTACATCTCATTTGCTTACCTGCGTTACAGTTGTGGAAGTTGCTGCCGAAGTCCTTATTCACAGCTTTGTCCTTGGTAGCAATGGGTTTGGGGAGGGGTTGTGGGGTTTTTTTCCTTGCTTTAACACTGTTCCAGCCCATACTTAACACTGTCAGTTCACAGATTCTTAGAAGTTGTTTCACCCCTACAAACTTCATTTTCTAAATATGCTTAGAAATTTTAAACAAAAGGAGTATGACCATGGAGATTACAAGTGCAGATTAAGGCAGTGCTGCATAGATATTTTTTTTTCCCCCGCTCTTTCTGCTCCCATTTCAATGCTGTAAATAACATAAGGTTCCGCCAACCTTGACATCAGATGGGTGCCTCTCCAGTGTTACGTGTCGCACAACCTACATGTGTTCAGGTGGAAGAAAACACTTCTGTACAACAGTTACCTAGAGAAAGTGAGGCGGTGGTCTCTCCTAATTTATTTTGTGGTGATGTACGCTTCCCGAACCGTTGCAGCGGGTTTCTGTACATTTTCTACCCTATGGTAGCCTGAACGCTCGTAAATCGGGTAGCTTTGCTTTTCCAGGTTATCCTCACTATTAGAATGCAGGGTTTGTATGTAATTATAGTTAATGCAAATCAGCCGGAGACCTTTCTTCCTGCCAGGTCTTGGTTGATTGGGTGTCGGTGGTGTATTTGACGCTGATCATGCTAACTAGTCATTGTTCAGGTCGGTGAAGCCTTCACAGTGAATGAGGCAGGGAAATTTCTCACTGGGAGTAGAATTTAGCGAGATAAAAATGTTAATTTTATACTGTTGACAAGATTAAATTCTCTTAATATTCAATGGGTAAAACTGATGGTATTCCAGCAAATTATTTTACGTTTTTCACGCTGGAAAAATGTAAGTGAATATTGTTGGCAAATGATTATTGATCTAGACAAGTGTGTTAAACGTTTCTTGGCAGCCCTGTATTACACTTACAATTTAGTTTAGTGACAGCTTTTATAAATAACCCTAAAGCAAATTCTTGATAGAAACAGGTTATCGTTTTTTTTCTTTTAGACAGATTTTGATACTGGAAAATGCGTGTGTTTAGAAGTGGTCTTTCTGTATTTTGTTTGATCAGCAGTATACGCAGCACGTAATATCTATTCTGCTAATTCTGCAAACTGACTGGATTTTGTTTCCCTTTAGCCTAAAGTATTAAACTGTGAAATATTGCGCGGTAACAGACGGAGCCTGGCTAAACGCGTGCGGAGTCCATTTTACTTTATATAGTAGTACTTAATAATTGCGTGTGCGAGTCTTCAAATAATCATGGCGAAGAATTGTCTGTTAAAGTTGATTTTCAGTGCCGGTTCTGTCAGAACCGGCATCCTTATTAAGAGGGTCTGTCTTGAAAATCCTGAAAACTTGTAACTCCAGTCATTGCGCCCCACGTTCGCTGCAGCACGTGGTACTTTAGCCCTGGTTAGCAGCCTGGCTCACAAGGATGAAAAACGAGGGCACGGATGAAGGAAAGGAGGATCTAAGCGTGACAGCGAGCGGCTGGTTTGAGCTGCTGAGTGCTCAAAGTCAGGTTGGTTGTAGTTGTTTTGAGGAATGCTTTGATGATGCTTACCTAAGCATCTGGACCATCTGCTACCATCTGCATTTTTTCCTGTATATTTAAGTTTTCCATTTTTCATATGATGTTGGGAATTTATATAAAAAAGAGGGTAGATATTAAAGAAACTGAAACGGTAAGAGCGGTGGTTAGAGGCATTCCTTTAGAGCCCCGCTGAGACATCCAGAGATACTTCCAATGCTACAGTACT